AATTCTTCAAGATGATTTTCAATATTAATTCCAGCTAATCTATCAAGAGTTTTCATTGCTAATTTATATTTTCCACTTTTATAACATAATCCTGTAAATTTAATCCATGACTCACTATTTTCTGTTTCTGTTAATACAAAACTTCTTATTTTTAATAATTTTTGCCAAATACTTACATCAGCTTTAGCATTTATTAATTTTTCACTCCATGCTGATTTTAAAATACTTTTAGCATCTTGATTATATAATCCTTCTTTACATGCAATAACTTCTTCTAATTCTGCTAACATTTGTGCTTTAGCAATAGTAGAATATGATCTTTCATATACTTCACCAACTAATGAACTTAATTCGGCATCTAATGCAATTCTTTGTTGATTAATAAGTGCTTTAGCTTCTTCAAATTCTTCATTATGAATACAATTAATACTTTTAAAGAAATCATTTTCAAAATTACTTTCAGTCATTTCACTAACAATAGAATCAAATTCATTCCAATCATCTAAATACCATAATGCTGCTGCATATAATGATCTTGCACTTGATATTGCTTTTTTATCTCCAATTTTCCATAATGTTTTTGCTGTTGTATCAAGAGATTCCCAATCTCCAAGTTCATGTAAACAATTTAATTTACCAACAAGAAGTTCTGGATTATTAATATCTTCTTGTAATTTTCTTTCATAAATACTTAATGCTTGTTGCCATCTTCCTAATTTTTCATACCATGTTTGATTTAATTCTGTATCATTATTTTGAACTTGTTTAATTTGTTTAGTATATTCAATTAACCCAGCAGCTGCATCATAATTTTGTAATTGATTATTTAATCCAATAAGTTCTTCAATCAAATTAATATTAGCATTTTCAAGAAATTCTTGTTCTTTATAATGTAATGCTTTAGCATATGCATTACATTTCTTTGAATAATCCCCAAGTGATTTAATAGGAACTTTAATTCCTTCTCTTTCCATAAATTCACATAAATTTAATATTGTTTGAATAATTTCATGTGGAGTATTATTATTTTCTAATACTTTTATTAAACAATTAGTTAATCTTTGTGAATTATCTGTTGAGTCTTGCCACATTGATAAAAATGCATAATTAAACAAATCTCTTGCTAATGGAAAATGATCTGTTGATAATAAGTGACAATAACATAATGACTGACTTGGACTTTCTTTTAAAAATACCATAGCAATTTGTCTAAACCAATCAAACCAATCTTCTTTACTTCTTCTTTGTCTATATGTTTCCCATACTGCAATTACTTTATTTATATCTGCATTAGGTTTAATTGTTGTATCTTGATTAAAACTTGTAACTTGTGCATGAAGATCTTCTGATATTGTAACATTTTGTCCTTCATTTTCATCTATTGGTAATACAAGTCCATCAGGTGTGTCTTGAAGTTTTATTGTTAATGATTCATATCGTTGATTATTATATTTTGGACAATATTTATTTAATGCAAATTTAATTGTTGGGGCATAAACTAAAAATCTTTTACCAAGACCATCTGCTATACTACAAAATACATCCATAGTTGCATCTCTTAATATTTCATTTTGTAATAATCTAGTTAATGGAAGAACTAACCGACTAATAAATTCTTCTGCATTAACATATTGTAAAAATTTATATAAAGCTTTTAATGTAGGAAGAACAATACTCCAATGGACTTGTTCATTAACAAGATCACTAATACTTGGAATAACTAAATGAAGATAATCTTCAAAATCAATATGTTCAGCTAATATAACAATAGAATTAATAATTCTTTCAAATACTAAACTATTTTGTTCAAATACATATTTATTTAGTTCTGATATAATTAATGAAAGCATTTGAGGCATATATTGTTTAAATTCATCATGCATAACTTTAGCAATTTCACATACTAATTGTAATATTGGTAATACTGTAGTATCATCCCAACATTCTTGAATTAATGTAAATATTTCTGGAAGATATTCTCTAATATTTTTTTCTATAAGATACATAATATCAGCTAATCCTTTAATTAATGCTGGTCTTACACTAATAGTACATGTTTTAAATAATTTTAAATATAATGATAATATTTGTGGAATATATGGTAATGTTTTTCTATTTAAATAACAAATAACTTTAACAAATGTTTTTACTGTTTGTTCATGTCCAGAAACAAGATTATTATCTCTTAAAATATTAAGTAATAATCCAATTACTGTCATTGCATAAAATTCTTCTGTTCCTGCTTGTGAAATAGGTAATAATGATTCTACTGTTTCTGCATCATCATTTTGGTTTGCTCCTTCTGTTTCTGTTAATAATTTATATTTATATGGATCAATTGCTCCAATAATTCCAAATACTTTTATTAATTCTATTTTAATGTCTTGATTTCTTTCATTACTAGCAAGTTCAATTAATAATCCAAGTAATTCAGGATAATCATAATATGGTTGTACAACATATCCAATACTTCTTACTAACTTTCCTAATGCAATTAATGCTGACTCTCTTCTAAGACTTTTCTTTTGTGAATTTCCTTTATCTTGTAATACACTAATTATGCATTTCATTAATCCTGGTGTATATTGACTACTATCACTTCCAATTGTTGTTAAATCTCCAATAATATTTAATATATAAATACATATTGTACTATGTGATTTATTTATTGCTTCTTCTAATTTTGGTAATAAAATATTTAATAATGGTTCAACATATGGTTTAGTTAATTTACCTGATGATTTGACTAATTGACCCATTAACAAAGTTACTTGTTCATCAGTCTTCAAATCATTAATAAATTGTAATTGTGTTAATAACCGAATAATAGTTTTTCTAAATAATGGCATAACAAATGCAGGATTATAATGTGTTAATCTTCCTATAATTTTAATAGCATATTCTCTAACTTTTAAATTCTCATCATTTAAAACAACAAAAAGTGTTTGAACATTTCTTGATTGTGCAAGAAAACTATCAAATCGTTCATCTAATAATTTCATTATTGTTATTCTAATTTCACTTTCTGGATCACTTAATCCATGGTCAAGCAATTTCTCTAATACTTCTGTTACATCAAGTGTAGAAATAAATTTTTTTGTTGTGTCAATTGGTGGAAGAAGTACTTGTGTTAACATTGCAGCTTCTTGACGTATTTTCTTTGTTTCATTATCTATATATTTCATTGTACATTCTTTAACTACTGGTACAATATTATGTTTAAATTTAAATGAATGTAATGTATCAAGTGCTAATATGATTTGATCATCTCCTTCTACTGTTGGTACAATAGTTCTATTAAACATTTTTAAATGTTCAGGTGCACCAAATGGAATAAATGCTTTTCCTAATAACACACCACAAATAACATCTAATAATAATTTTTGTGTTTGAAGACGATATGTAGGATTATTATATATAATACAACTTTGATTAATTAATGATACTAATGGTGTTGATAATCCTAATTCTAATAATGTTGGAAATGTTTTATGAATTAATGCAAATACTCGTGGTACTGGAATATTGATAATAAATTGTTCCATACAATACATTATTGAATTTAATATTTCTGCTTTTTTTTCTTTAGAATTAATAATTTCTCTCATTTTTGCATATACTTGTTCTACAAATGCATACATTTCATATTTAATTTCTCGTGTAATATCTCCAATAACTGTAAATACAATACTTTTATCACTAAATGATTTTATTGAATTAATTAAATAATTCATTATTCCATTAAATGGTTCTTCACATTTAATTCTTGTTAATTCATCATGTTCAAATTGTGCAAAATCTGCAATACTTTTTCTATCTTTTTGAAAACTTTCTATAACTTCTTCATTTTTTGGTGCAAATGAATCACAATCAAATTGTGCAAAATATGGTAATGATGTAATAACAGTTTTTCTAATAACCATAGACTTATGTTCTTTTACATTTAAAAACATTTGTAATACTTCATTATATTTAGGCTTCATATATTCTTTACAATTTCTTAATAAACTTACCATTAATAATAATGCTCCATGTTGAAGATCTGCTGAATTCGTTTGCTTTAAATATACTACTGCTTGTTTATATAATGCTTCTGGATCAAAATTATTTGATTCTTTTGATGTAAATAAATTAAATAATATACTTAATGCTTTTTGTGACTCTGTTCTTGCATTAATACTTCTATCATATAATCCTTTAAGTAAACTTTCTATTATTTTATTCTGATTCATAAAACAAATAACTTGATTATTTAATCCAATTTGTTGCATAATCAATGCTCCATTAACTTTTGGTTCTCTCTATCATATTAATATTATTCTTTTAAAATAAATAATTCATTATTATTTAAAATAACAAACTTCTAAATAACTATTAGCAATGTCTAATTCTTTCTCTACTAAATCATGTGGTCCTAATCGAATAATTTTTCCTAATACTACAGATGCATTTCGAATAACATTTTGATTATTTGATTTCATAATACAATCAATTATATCTTTGGCATTAGTTCGAGGATATGAATCATCAATATCAGAAGTAATAAAGAAATCAATAAGATTAATTACTGCACTATGTTGTTTTTCATTTACCTCTGGTTTTTTAAGGACTGCTAAAAGGTCTGAAGATATTTCATTGATAAATGTAGATACTCCATCTCCTTGAAGATCTCTTACTACTATAAGTACAAAATCATGAAGTTTCTTTGTTATAATGTCGTTTTGTGTTTGACTCGTCTCTGATACAAGCTCATTAAATAATGACATAAATTTATCAGACCACTTCATCTGAGTAGTCATTTTTGCTATTCTTGATTTTTTAGTTTTTCTTATTATTTTTTATTTTTTTATGTTTCAGGAAATAATAAAAATATTTTGAAGTTTTTTTTTTTGTTTTCTTTTTAAATTTTGATATTCATCTTTCTCATAATAACTCATTACCAATTCTTTATTTTTTTTTTGATAAAAGTAATATATGTCATCTTAAAATAATAACTGACAATGCAACTTGAAGAGATTGGTAAAAAATTTTCTATTAGCCAAAGTATTATGAAAATGGCTAAAAAATTACAACAAAACGAACAAGTAACATTTTTTATTGAAAATGAATTACTCTATGGCTCTTTGTTATTAGATCATTCTTCTGTCCTTATCATTTCCTTCTCTAAACAGAAAGAGAATATGTTCAGGGTTGTAACTGAAACACCTTTTCAGAAACATCCTTTACTTTCAAATGATGGATATATTAAACCAGGAAAATTATGGAAGTTCACTGACCTTTGTACTTCAGTTATTGATTTTAAAAATGTATTTTCTCACATTCCTTTGAATTATAATGAGCTGAAACAACAGATTGAATCCCTTCAAGACAAATTTCTAGCTCAACAAATTTCAGAATCTCAACTCAAACGAGAAGTTTCTAAGATTGAAAGTCAATGCGAATATTTACATAATGACACTTATCAAAGACTTGACTCCCTGAAAAAAGAAAGAACAGAAAAACAAATAACAATGGTTACAAATGTAATAAACAAATTAATTATAGAAGGTAAAATGACAGAAGAAGAAAAAACAATCTTCCTTGGAATATTAAAAAGTAAATGATGTTTAATTTTTTTTTATTTCTCTTTATCTTTGTTTTTAGAGAGGTTTTAAATAATTCAAAATGAATAAAAAATGTTATTTATATCAAGTTTTGGTTGATTTTTTTCTTATTTCCTTTTATTAAGAGAACACGTCATCAAAAAAGAAGAAACATAAAATAAAATAGGTAATAAAAAGAAGAAATTGACAAGTGTAGAAAGTAAAAAGGATGTTGTAATGAAATACTACAAAGAAAAAAGATCTCGTGGAATATTCATTTTCAAAAAAGTTAAAATTCCATTTGATTCTATCATATATAGAAACGAGAAAAAACTTAAAAATTATTATTTGAATAATTTTATGATTATATTATTATTACTTGCTTCATATTTACTTTCTTTTGCTCAAGCAAAAAAAGGACTTGACATTCATTTATTTGATGTTGGACAAGCAGATGCTCAGTTAATTGTTTTTCCATCAGGATATTCAATTTTAGTTGATGCTGGAGAGAAGAAGACAGGATCAATGAATTGTAAAATGATTGCTGAAAGAATTAAAGCAATTCTTGGAAAGAGTCATGTTGATGTAGCTGTGTTAACACATCTTCATTTAGATCATGTAGGAATGCCATTTACTAATGGATTTTGGTATTTAATGGAAAAAGCAGGAATTACTTTTGGTAAATTTATTGATAGAGATGCAGGTGTAATAAAGAGTAGAGTCACTCAATGTACTGGTCTTAATTCAGAAGATGTAGATTGGCATAATGTTGGAACTTATTCTTCAACAGCTTTAAAATGGTTATGTTATGCTACTAATTCAAATATTAAAAATGCAATGACTGGTATTAGAGAAATTGCAGTTCCATGTAGTAATCAAATTAATCCTCCAGATGAAGGTGCTTCAGTAGAAATTGTAATTAGTGATGCTCTTGGAGTTAATTCTGATGGAAAGCCATTAGCTGCTGATTATCATGATCAAAATGACGTTCCAAGTGAAAATGATTATTCTATTTCTTTAAGAATTCAATTAGGAGATTTTGTTTATTCTACTTCTGGTGATTTAGATGGACAAGACAATAGTTCTAGATTTGGTTATCTTTATCATAATGTAGAATCTTCATATAAAGATGTTGTTGGAGAAGTAGATTTATATAAGGCTAATCATCATGGATCAGAACATTCTAATAATGCTGAATGGTTAGGAGTTCTTAAACCAACAGTTTCATTAATTTCATGTGGTCATGGTAATCTTTATAAACATCCAACTGAACCAGCTGTTTCTTTAATGAATAAATATTCAAAGAAGATTTATCTAACTGAAGATTGTAATGCTGCAGTTACTGATAAATTTGATAAAATTGTAATTGTTGGAAATGAAATAATTGTTCATTACCCAGTAGATGGATCTACATTTACTGTTACTGACCTTAATAACACTTTCAAACATTCATATAATGTGAAGAAAAATAAACCACAAAGAAAAGCATGTGGTGTTATTTAAATTATAAAGGGTAACTTTAACTTAAGAATTTGTAATTACAATTCTTCTTTTGCTTAAACTCATTAATACTAAGTTTTTTTAATTTTCTTATTTTATGTTCTTTCTTTTTTCAATTATTATTTATTTTTGTTTAAAAAGACTATTATTTTCATTGGATAACAAACAATTTTCTTTGTCTCAAACGAGTTAATAATAGATAAACTTTTGTTTATTCTTCTAAATATTTGTTAGTCCTTAAATTATTAATGTGAATTAACTAATCTTGGGAGAAGAATATTCTTCTAGAAATACTTATTCTTTTAATATTCTGACACTTTTTGTGTTGATAAATTGTCTTATAATGAGCATAAGAAAGAAGTAAGATATTTTTTTTTCTTTGAACAAAAGGAGTAATGTTAAATTCAATTTATGACTAAAAGTTCATTTATGTTACTGTGATGAGAGAAAATTCAATTCAGAAGAAAACTCAAATAATATGTTTAATACAAAAAATAAAAGAATTGGAAAGACTTAAATTATTGCTGAACTAACTAGAAACAGATTATCACAAAATTGAGTTATGTCAACAACTGGAATTTGTTTATTTATCATATTTAAACCATCTTTAATAAAAAATTAAACACTTATCAATCAAATGAGAGCATTTCTTATTGTCTTATTAATTTCTTTTGCAGTTGCTGGACCAATTGTTTGCAACCTTTGTATTGGACTTGTTAATACCCTTGATGGCCTTATCGTAAATAAAGGTGCTGATAGAGTAAAAAATTATATTGATGATCTTTGTGGTAAGGCTGATGGATTTATTGCTCAGCTCTGTGAAAAACTTCTTTCATTTGGACTTGATAAACTTATTGATCTTATTCAAAGTAAAGTAGATCCTAATGCAATTTGTGCTCAAATGAATGCTTGCTAATCATTTGAATTGATTAATTCATTCCTTGTACTAATGTTTTTTTTAATTTAATAATGATATCTGTTAAGAATAAAATACTTTTTATATATTTATTTCTTTCTTAATTTGATTTAGAGTGTATTAATATTCTTTTATTCTTAAAAAATAATTATATTTATTTGCTATCTAATATATGTGTAATAATAAATATATTATTAATTGATAATTTAAAGTAAATTAATTTTAATTAAAGAATGTGAATGGTTATATAGCAGATATGGTTAATTTATATAAACAAATATAAATTCAATTATACTATTATCTTATCATTCATCAAAGTTTTAATATGATGATAGAATAGATTACATTTTTAATAAATTAATAAAGATTATAATATATTTGTTTAAATAATAAAAAATAAAAGAAAGATAATAGTTATACTTTATACTAGTCTAATATAAAATATATTTAATATATATTATTACATTTGTTCTAGTATGACTCATTTAATAAACTTCATAAAGACTCACATTTAAACTTAAAAAAAAACTGTACTAGAACAATTACAAAGAATTTAAAAATATAATGAATATAAAGAATCTAATATTATTATAACCCATTAATACAATTCACAATAAAATACTTATTAAGTTATATTAATAGGTGATTAAAATACATTTCAAATGAAACTTATTCAATTTAAAAATAACAAAAAAATAATTTATTTATTAATGACAGTAAACATAATGAAATTATCATTATCTATAACTAAAATAAGATTGGTCTATTTCAATAATAAAAGGATTATCCAATCTCTAGAAAAGAACTAATATAAGGATAACAATTAATATAATTTAAAATAACTAACATTAAACATTTAAAGAAGAATTTAAAAAAATAAATGAAAAATTCACTTATTCAGTCTTTAACACTATTACTTTATTTATTCATTGTTGGTTTTGGAGGTGTGTTTTTAAATATAACAAAAAAATAATTTGTGTTAAAGAATATTACAAAGAAATGAAAATAATAATTTCTTTGTTACAAATCAATTATTTTTATTATAACAATTTTCATGTTGATAAAATTGTGTTATTAAAAAATAATAAAGAAATAATTAAAATATGATACAAAACAAATTCATAAAGAGATAAAAATAACTAAAAAGAATAATTTAAGAATTAGAAAAAAACTAAACCCCAAAGCACAGTAGAACTTGAAAGGGTTTTGTCAAATTGCAGGTTGATGTCTGGAAAGGCCAATAAGCAAAAGCAAGCAAAACAAACCAACCCACTTATCGTTGCCAATAAGAAGGTGTTTGGAAAAGGTAATGTAGCTCATCCACGTGATTTGACTAGATATGTTAAATATCCATTATATGTCAGAATTCAAAAGGAAAAGAGATTATTAATGAAAAGATTAAAGACCCCACCAGCAGTCAATATCTTTGCCAATCATACTCTTGACAAAACTAATGCTACTCAATTATTCAAGATTCTTGATCATATTAAACCAGAAGAAAGAGCTGCTAAATTACAAAGAATTAGAGCTGCTGCTAAAGAATTAGCTGAAAAAACACAAAAAGGAGAAAAAGCTACTGCTTCAAAGAAAACTGAAAAACCAGCTACTCTTAGTTATGGTATTAATAATGTTGTTAGATTAATCGAAAGAAAACAAGCTAAATTAGTTGTTATTGCTCATGATGTTGAACCATTAGAAATGGTTGTTTATCTTCCATACCTTTGCAAGAAATTACAAGTTCCATACTGCATTGTTAAAGGAAAGGCTAGACTTGGACAATTAATTCACAGATCAACCGCTGCAGTTGTTGCTGTTACTGAAATTAAGAAAGAAGATAAAGCAGCATTTGAATCACTTGTTCAAAATGTCAAATCTATCTACTTCGAGAATGCTCATATGTACAGAGAATTCGGTGGTAGAATTAATGGATTTAAACACAATGAAAAACAAAAGAAGATTCAAAGTAAACTTAATAAAGATCTTGCTGATAAAGCTAAACAACAAGCTGCTTTAACTGTTACCACTGCTGTAGAAGAAAAAGCTGCTCCAGTTGCTGAAGAAAAGAAGGCTGACAAGACTGCTTAAGTTTAATGGGTTGTTCTATGGCTTCGCTTATTGAAATTTTTAAATTTGATTTTCTTTTTTTTTTCATGATTTATGTAGAATATAAAAATAACAAAAATCTTACAAACCCTTTAATACAATTTTAAAAATGTTATTTTAGAACTTACAAATAAAAAAATTTAAATTAAAGAAGATGGGAAACATCACATTAGAAACAGAGAAGGGAATTGCTGTAAGTGTTATATCAATTTCTAGTGTACTAACATCAGTATTATTATTATATTTTATATGTACTGTGATATTACAATATTGTAAAAGATGTAAAAAAACTAAACAGTATAAATTTTTAGTACAACCTCCATATATAACACCTAGAAGAATTTGTCATTTCGGCATTTTTTGTTATGTACTTTGTCAAATTAATTTTATTGCATGGGAAATATATTATTATTCTTTTACATTATTAACATATAATTTTAATTCTTTAATTTATATTCATTGGTATGAAATGTCAAATTTATTAGATACAACAACTTTTGGA